TAGATGAGTTTTATTGTCAATTGACTGTATAATGCAGAAAATGTTTTTTTTTCGAATATAGAGCTCTTAAAACTCCAAAGTATTCAGCATATGTGAGGAAATTTTAAGTGTAAAGCACATTATTAGAAGCTATACAATTTTTTATGTTGGCCTAAAAACACGAATTTGTTAGTGAGTAGGAAAGAAACAGCTGTGAGTAGGAAAGAAGGAACAAAAAATTGAACTTTTCCAGTTTTTCCATCAAAATATTTTTGGCTAAAAAAGTCAAAATTCAGTATTCAAAATCTAAATTCAAAGCTGGTTACGCTAAATTAAAAGTAAATTAAAGTAAAATTCTTTACAAGCAAATTTTGTATTTATTTTTTTAGCTCGACTTTATGTTTTGACTTCCAGGACGACTATAGGCCCAGCGCGACTGTGGACTTTTTGTCGAATTTTGACATCTGGTTCAACCATTTCGGTGGAAACGTTAAGTCGACTCCTCGACCTGTGTATTTATAGTAAGGGCCTAGGAAATTAGACGACAAACAAATTGAACGACCAACTTTTATATAAATCCGGACAATATGAGATTGGGCCAACAAAATTTTTTGCCTAGAATGTTGTTACACAAAATTTTTTGCTTAGAATGAATTACTCAGAAAAAAGAACCGATCAAAATTAAAAACTGTAATTTTTTTTTAAAACATAAAATCGAAAAAATATAGTAAGTTTTTAAAATGCTTAAGTTATACAATTGGGGTATTAATAACCTGATTTGCACTTTGACAACTATAACTTTTGCTCAGCCAAAAGTCAATTTCAGCACATACACAATTTTCACGCAAATTGCACGTAAGTTGTTGTCTAAACTCCGTTATTTTCTGGTTAAGAAAATACTTAAGAGGCGCGACTTAAGAAAAGACTGACGGCGCGACTTAAGAAAAGACTGACGGCGCGACTTAAGCGCACGGCGGACTGCGAAATCCAGTGTGAAAACGGTATGCAGCGCGACTTACTAAGTTTTTTCTTAAGTCGCGGACCTCGACCCGGGTTATCATATGTCTTAAAACCATGTATAAATAGTCGTCTGTCTTTTGAAACTAGCGTAAATTTGTGTACCTTCCAGGACATCTTTTCACCCTCGCATAAAAAAGATAATAGATTTTCCGCAATTTTCTATTATATTATCCTGATTTTGTCGGCTGGGGGTTGTGATATACTTAATTACTGATTGCAATAATGCATAGTTTGAATGGTATGTTTGACATTAAATGTTAGGCGTTGTGGGTCGACGCTGATCGTTGTTTCGTTACCTGATGTTCGGTTTGATGATTAAAGAAATTTTAGTTTCAAACTATTTTTTAGATAGTTCTGTATGTTCGCTGTGAGAATAGCAGAAGAGAGAGTATTTACTCAAACTCCTTTTGTCAAAACTCCTATCATATTACACTGGTTAACTTGTTGGCAGTGGTCTGCGAAGAAAATTTTCTAGAGGGGCATTTTTTCGAAATTTTGCTGACTTTTTTTTAGGTCCCTAATTTGATTGTTTAAGCCCTCAAAAAAGACTATAGTGATCTTATTTTGTTAAAACTTTTCTTCGCTGGAGGCGAACTTTTCAAAAATCAGGCAAAAATGAAAAGAAAAAAATTGCGTTTTTGACCAGAAAATTTTGTCTAAAAGTTTGCGTTTTTGGCCGTGCGTTCCCCCCAAAATAAGTTATATTGGCGCCAAAGGCGCCATTAGAAAAAGTTTGAGGTTGGTCGGCCAAATATGGAAGTCGTAAAGTTATACAAACATGGATGTCGTAAAGTTATACTTGTTGGCAAATTGAAGACAAGCACTAACCCAAAGCTATATTTACCAACAGTAATGGTAGTCTATCTAACCAGGGTAGAGGTCCTCATTAAAATAATCTGATTGTCTTATGATTGATTCATGTTTTTGCGCAGTTTCTTCGTTGATGTTAGTTTTCGAGATCTCAGCTATGAGCTCTACTTCAATGCTAAATTGTAGAAAAGATTGCACAGCAATTGTCGACGTTTCGTAGCCTCAAACTCTAATGACTTTTGTAGAAGTTGTTTGAATTCTGCTGATCTTAACCGTCCCAAAAGTCTTTAAATAAGTTGAGCTCATGAGATCTGAAAATTAACTTACACAAAAATAAAGAATTTTGGATCTGTTTCAGAAAATTTACTGGGTACGGGCAGAAACGTTTTGAAACAAGTTTACAAATTCAGCAACAACGACATGTTCTCTCTGTCTGCAGTAAAATGCACTTTATTGTAGATGTCAGTGAACACGATCTCTTAAATGTTGCAAGCAAAATTAAATTTCTCAACTTCAAGATTGCTTGTCCTCTTTTTGTCTGCGGATTTTGTTGCTTATACAGTTTCTGTTATTCAAAATGTCTAAGCATGCAATTATAAGGAAAGCAGTCAGCTAGATAAATGGTGCCTCAAGATGGTTCATAGTTCCAAAGAACTGTAATCACACATTTAGGAGCGTTTGTTCTAGAAGCAAGGCTGTTGTCTATCTTGGAGACGTATGAAAGTAATTTTGAAGAATTTCTTTGATATTGATTTGAAAGATAAATTGCTTTAAGATAATCAAAATATGCAATTTGTTGCTAGACAGAAAAATACACATAAAAAACATTTTATCATGAATAACTATATAAAATATTCACACTTTCCCATTTGTGGTAAATGTATAAATACGCACCGAGCGCGCATGTATTATAAACAATTATACTGTCTAATATGGTCCGTACTATAAAATTACAAAATAATCGAATATAAGCCATTAAAAAAGGTTATAATCATAAAGTTTTTAGGTCAATATAATCCATAATAATCAAATATAATCGATTATAATAGATTTTTTCGAGACGTCATTCATGAAATTTACAACTTTTTATTGGTGGATTTTGGGGAGGGGATTAATGATTGGCAACCTCCAGTTTACCGCCCCCTCCTTAGTTGGGATGAGATAAAAAAAAAACTTGAGAAGGTAATGCTGAGACATGGTGTTCAGTAAAAGGCTTAGCAGACATTTTGCAAATTTCCTGCTAATTTTGCAAAATTTCTGCAAAATTAATTGAATTTATTTCTAAAAACAAAATGGATTCTAATGTATTATAATGGATTATTATGGATTATCTTGGCAAAAGATAATCGAGTTCAGTGCCATAAATAGTGGATTATAATCTATTATAATGGATTATTATGGATTTTTATTTCAAAAATAATTGATTATAATGGATTATCTTGGCAACAAATAATCGAGTTCAGTGTCAAAAATAATGGATTATAATCAATTTTAATGGATCATAATGGATTTTTTCAAAAATAATCATTTTTAATGGCAATTTAATCAATTTCAATGTCTGAATTTTACATCTGTAATGGATTATAATGGATTAGAATCCATGGGCGCTCGGTGCGGGTAGCATCGACTACATGCGTAGACGTATGATTTTTGTGATATGAATCAAACATCGTTATCTACATTGACAACTGGTTAAACTTGAACCGATATGATACAGAGGAATAAAGATTTTTATGTTGTTCGAGATTTTCTTTGGTAACAACTTAAGCCAATCGTTTTTGTTTGAAATGCGCTTTGAAAAAATCTAAATCTAAGAACATAGTTTTTTTTCCAAAACTTCAAACATAAAATAGATAAAAACTTTTAACTTAAAAAGTAGCTAGACATTCTAAATACCATACGAAAACTTTTTTGATTTCCAACTTAGATCTCAAATCAAAAAACTTGATTAATTAGATGCTCCGAAAGAAATATAATAAATGAAACAATAAAAAACAAAATTTATTTATATATAAATTATTAGTTTTTTGACTCTGAACAAGTTAAATTGCAAAGTTTTAAGGCAATTTTTTGTTCAAAATTAGATTCAAACCAAATTAATTTGATATGGTTTTTTTTGTAAGCTCGTTGTTTTCCTGGGTTTCTTGGAATTCATGGGAAGGTTCGTAGCAGGTGCTCTGGCCTGGCTTTCAAATTTTTGTGTTTGTTTCATAGTAAACCTCTCCGATGCCTCAATTCCACTTTTCGATGTGTAATTATAAGAATGTAAGATTGAAAAAAAATTTTTTTCAACAATTGTCAGAAAAAAAACTTGTCAGAAAAAAAACAATTTCCTGGCAGGGTTCCTGGTTGGGTCTAAAGTTTTCCCGTGGCTATATAACCCGGGTTCTTTGTATAGTTCATTTAAAAAAAACTTCTCGAAAAAAAATTTTGTTTGTTCAAAACTATTGCTCGGTCCTACTTGATCGAAATGTTTTTCCCGTGTCAGATGAAGGTTTATTGACTTGCTTTGTCCAAATGTTTTCTTGGTCGACTTCTTCTGTGGTGTAATTTGTTGCTGTGCTGATCTCGTTCGGATTGTTTCACGTTCGAAATGGGCTTCACACTGTCTAGATGTCTCTCCGTAGTCGAACAGAGTCAAATCACAAAAAATGAGACGGTCGAAAGATATCGGACATGACTTGAGACGGTCGAAACATACTGAGTTGTGGTTGAGACAGCCGAATCATGAATAGCAACCATGGAGTGGGATAATTCGAGCTCTAGAAAACTTAAATCAAAATTACTTCTCGTGATAACAATTGCTTTGACAATTTAACTAATTTCACCTTCACCAAAGATATCTCTAATAAATTTCAGATCGCAGCCGTAGCAGCAGCCGTATGGTTATGGTTTAACTTGCGTTTTAAATCATTTTGGAATTCATCACTTTGAGACACAATTGGACCAATTCAATGAGCAAATAGTAATAGCAAATCTAAACTTCAAAGCTTTCCGTTTTTTGACTTAGAATGAAGCAGACTTGAAGACTGTTGTGGATTTGTCAGGGCTTAATTTGGTATCTGTTTTATTGTGCGAGCGGATTAGAGCGGATTAGAGCGGATTAGAGCCAATATTTTTAGGAGAATAAGTAAGGCATCTTCTGCCCCTACATATATATTCCTTCCTCTCGCTGACGTTCGGAACAATAAATGTGAATATCGCGTTCAATTACGCAGCTAATCAGGAACTGCAGCTCATCTGAAAAAATTGGGATTTCAAAATTGGGGAAAATTTATTAATACAGCGTCAGGAAAACAGACAGATAGATCCTGTTAGCTTCATTATTTTCAAACAAAAGAAACACCAAACCATTGTTGCTTTCGGGGAACTAGGGAAAACATCCCTACATTTTGTAAGACAAAATGATTGGTATGAAACTGTATTAATTTACTTTAAAATGAGCCAAGGTTGAGAAAATCACTAACAATTAAACCAGTTAAACAGTTGCTATGACAGAATCAGAAGACACTTGTTTGATCAAACGATGATATCAGCAGGCCTTGTTTTATCTACACAAAGTTAAATGAAACTACACCGTTCTTTTGTTATTTCAGCTCCACATTTCAAATATTGCCGTTTACTGATCAACCTAATTTACCAGATTTCAGCAAAAATATCAATTAAATTTTATTACAAAAGCAACCAGATTTTTTGCATTTGTTAGTTTTTATCCTAAATTATTGTTGTATTGTTCGTCTTTTTGGGTGTTTAAAAATAAACGCACTGATGACCTGAATAACAAAATTCAGATGCTAAATATGTGATAAGTTTCTATGTTTGCAGTTCAGAAATTGAAATCAAAGAGCAAAATGGTTTTGTCAATTGTTTGAGTTAATCAAATACGGTATACGAGCTATGACAAGAAAGATTTTATCAATTTTCAATGAGAAAATTTGAATAATTTGATTAATTTTGTGATTAAAATTACATTCATTTTAAAATTCATCGTTTAAAATCTAACAACGACAAGTTATTTTTATTTTTACTAGTTATATAAACATAAAACTTCAAGTATGGGCTGTTCATGCTCGTCATATTCTTTGAAAGGTTTGTGATGTTATTTTTATATTGTTTATTAGTTTAATGATCTCTGAACTCTTCTCTTTAATGAACGATTGTCATTTTTTAAATTAAAAGCATCCATGATTCCAACACTGAACTCCAGACTGCATTTGATAGGAATTGAGTCTTTTTCTATTTGTGAACTTTTCGGACACTTTGCGCTTCTCAACGTTTTCAAAAATAAATGGTTCGAAAATAGTATTTTACTCATTGCAGTTCATAAAAACCGTGCCAAATTTATCGGTTTTCTGAACGTTAAAGATGATGAAGGATCGATCTTGCACACATTTTGGCTTTTGATACTTTTGTTTTATAAAAAAAAAAACTGAAAAAATTATTACGGCAACGTAAAGTTGATTTTGCAAGAATGAAGGGACCCTCAGGAAGTTACAATGACTCTTTGCGTTTAAAGACAAGCATTTACGAAAATAAGTTTTGAGTCAGACCAAAAAAAAATATTTAGTTATCTATTTAACTTTGTTTGCCAATGAAGTATCAACTTTTAAACTGTTTTTAGAGTTCTTGCACTTTATCTAAGGGTTCGAAAAACCGGATGAAAAATCACTTAGAGTACCGATAAACCTGTCTAGAAGTTTTTTCTCTCAGACAAACTTGGAGTGAATAAAACCAGCGAGTGGTGCAGGAAGCGGCTATCAGTAAAACGAAGCATTTAACTTTAGTTTTGAATCGTCATTTAACGTCTTCGTTGATTCAAAAAATATAATTTTGAAAACAGCAAAAATTATTATGAAAAGTTTAAAATATTTTTCTTGGGCAACATCAATGTAATTCAGTTACAAACACATTTGCTCATCATTGTTTAAAGTTTTTTTCGCCTCTCGCTGTGCCGCAAACAAAATGCACGAACTGAGACCCATGAAAAAAATATTGCCCTAAAAATGTTCGATCATTCTGAGCTGTTTGCACAATAACAGACAATTCTTGTTAGTAAGATTGCAATCATTCAAACATATTTCGATCGTTTAAAAACGAGCAATGAAACACACATTTTTTACTTGGATTTAAAATTGTTTGTGAAGATTGGTTAAATTCGAGAATGGAAAAACCAGTTTTTGATTGTTGTCATGATGTAGAAAAAATTTGATTTTTACCGACAAAACTGATGCAATTTAAAGGGTAGTCGAAAGGTTCAGATAACTAATTTATAATGAGTTCTGATGCGATAAGCGATAACTCGATGGATGATGATGATTGATTAAAAACTTAGATCGTACATATTTTTACTGCAATTCATTTTCTAAGTTTTATGTTTGATGCCAAATTGTTGGTAAAATATTTTTTCGCTTTTAGCATTCTGAAAGAACTTGCTCCTTTAAAACTGCTCCTTTAATGTTGGAAGATAGTTTTCAACTCATGGCAATGCGGAAAAAACCGTAGCAAAAAGACTAACTAACCTGAAAATATTTGTCTTCTGTACTTAAATGCTTTGAAAACTAATTTTCTTGTTTGTGGAGATTTTAATATCGACACTTTAGATTGCAAACCTATTTCCAAATCTTATTTTAATCTAATTAAAAGCTGTGGTGCGCATATTTTGAATAGAGATCCAACTCGCATTACCCCAACATCGAGTAAAGGTATTGCTCATTTAATTGCTAATTTTGACGCTAACGTAAAAACACTGGATTCAACAATTTCTGATCATTTTCCCGTAATTTTATCTGGTTACGTGAATGTTGATCCGCAAGAAAATCAAGATTACTCTATAAAAATCTTAAAAATCTTTACCGTGACGATAATTTTTATAAATATTTGTTCCTCTTAGAAAAAAAATTGTCGAAATTTTATAAGCTTAGTGATCCCAATGAGAAATTATGTCTATTAGTTGAATCCATAGTTTCATCAATTGATCGTTCTGCTCCCTTAGAAAAATCGAAATCACAAAAACAGTCATGCGTTACCGATTCAACCAAAAAGATCCTCAGAAACCGCGATCGGCTTTTCAGTAAGTGGGTACAAAATCCTACTGAATTGAATAAACTGAAATATTCTTAAGCTAGAAATTTAGCAGCCAAGGTAATAAGAAATGAAAAAAGAGTTTATTACGACAAAAAACTTGAAAATGGTAGAAATTCGAAAACGCTGCTCCAGGCCTTTAATGAATTTTGCAAAGGAAACTCCGAAAACACGAACTTTTTGGCTGCTGATGTTTTTAATGAATTTTTTGCCTCAATTGGCGAGATACTAAGAAATCCTGAATTTGATTACAAACAAGCGTTGGGTTATGTAGATCGAATCGAAAAGTCAATGATTTTTTATGAAATTACCCACAAGGAAATTGAAAGTGCCATATATTTGTTGAAAAATAGAGGTTCAAATGGTCATGATGGCATAAATGGCATAAATAACAAAATTATAAAATTATCGCTGCCTGTAATTTCTGTAAGAACTTGCAGCCTTTTAAACCAATGCATTAAGAGCGGTTATTTTCCTCAAGGCTTAAAAGTTGCAAAAGTTATACCCCTTTTTAAGGGAGTTTTAAAAGAATCTTTGGAAAATTATAGATCTATTAGTTTACTCAGTTCACTCAGCAAAATTTTGGAAAGGATAATATTCAATAGAATGTATAAATTTGATAACAAGCAGAAGATTCTTTATGAAAAAAAATTGGAATTCAAAAGAAAAAGTCATGCGTGGACGCATTAATCGAATTCACCGAATTTATTAGAGAGGGATGGGACAAAAATTGGTTGGTCAATCATGCCTTGTAGATCTCAAAAAAGCATTTGATACCATAAATCAAGATCTTCTTTTGGCAAAATTGGAAAAATACGGCTTTAGAGGCCGGATTCTTTGTCTTCTGAAAAATTACTTTACAAACCGGTTTCAATTTGTTGAAACTGATAATAAAATATCTTCTAGTCGCTCTATGTCATGTGGAGTACCGCAAGGGTCAGTTTTAGGTCCGTTTTTGTTTTTAATACATATAAACGATCTTCCGAAAATTGCTGAGGGATCTGAGGTTGTTCTATTTGCTGATGGTACTACAATATGCAATGCAGAAAAAAAATTGTAGCGAGAACTTTGATAGTTCGTTAAATAAAGTGGATAAATGGTTCAAAACGAATGGATTTTGTGTCAATCCTGGTAAAACTCAAATAAGGAAATTTGGTTAAAACTTTTCAAAAGATTACTTTGCTTTTGGTATTACAGTTCAAATTACAAATGTGTGTAAATATTTAGGCATTTTTGTTGATAGGAAACTCACTTTCAAATTTCACATTGAACATGTGTGCAAAAAATTAACTAAATTTTGTGGCATTGTCTGGAAAGCTAGGTATGTTTTTTCTAAACAGCAGATGCTTCGCTTCCAAAAGCATATGTAAATCCTACTATCAATTATGAAATTTTAATATACGGCAATACATCCCAATCTCACCTTACCGAGATAATGCAACTACAAAAAGAATCTTGAGAGAAATTTAATTCAAACGTAGATATGAATCAATTAAGGAATTTATGAACGAAAACAAATTACTTTCTGTTTTTGATTTAGACTTTTTTGAGATGTTTAAGTACTTGTTTATGGAATTGCGATCGGACAAAAAAAATGATTTTCTGTCCCAGATTTACTCCCAAAAAATTGGACCATCTTCCTGGAGCAAATTGAAAGGCGTAATTAAAGTGGCAAAATTTTCTACCACCGCTAAACAGAGATCGCTTGCAGTTAGAATTGTGCAGGCTTTTAACTATTTAGAACAAAATGACTTGATACCTGTTAATATACATGAAATGTCAAAAATTAGTTGTTTGAGACTCTATAAACAGTTTTTTCAAATTTACCTAGAAGACAATCAGGACCTCTACAAACTGTTTATTAATTTCAGCGCTTCATTTAGATTGTTTGTTGAGTTGATGCTGGCTGTCTTCTCTTTACTCTCCAGGATATCCTACTCGATGAGCAGTACTGCTCTTTAGAATCTCCCTCCAGGCATAATATATTACTTTTGGCGTTGTATATGTAGCTGGTAAAGTAATTCAAATTTTAAAGTAAAGATGATCGAGGCCACCGATATTGCATTTTTAAGGTATTAAAGACATTTGCCCGTTAAAAGAAACTAAATCAATTATTCCGGCAACTTACTTGATTTTGGTAGCTTGAAGTGACAATGACTCTAATATGTCTTGCTCAATATAGTGATAATTGTTTCCATTTTACCCTAAATTAAAGGATAACGAAATTTTTCAACCGTCCTTTGTCGAGAGTTTTTAATGCAGCTGTAATCACAATTGTTGAAAAGGATTTAGCATGATATATCACAAGATCCCATCTCAAAACTCGATGTGTTACGCTTCTCAGCAGCCATTCCAGTTAGGAACACAGCTTTGCGCAAAAACAAGTCAAAAAACACGGATAGCCGGTTACTGTGCAAGTAGCATAGAATGTTCCAACCATAGTCTTAAAAAAGACAAGTTTTTCAAATTATTGTGGTTTTTTTCGGCGTGGTGTGATGAAAGGAGCTAAACAAAAAAGTGGGGATTAGGTATCTTTGACAGCCACATCAAAATAAGCTAATTGAAAAACAATTTTTGTAGAAAAAATGACCAGAAAACGAAAAAAAAATCAACTAAAAAGTTTCGCAAATTTTTTCAAGTTTTTTGCAGTTTTTTAAATTTTTGAAAATTTTGATTCCCAAAAAAGCGCTAAAATACCCAAAATAAACGAACGTTACCCAAGTGAAACGAAGTTTTTCCGTTTTAAATTAAGCTTTTGTAACCTCCTAAGCACTTCAATCAATTAAAATAAGATTGCTCGCTCGCTTTATTCGCTCAAAATAAAAACAAAAAATCAAAAATTTCAAACCGGTTTTTTTTCAACACTTGGAAAAAATTTTTAAATTTTTAAATGAGATTCCAATCACGCTGTAAGGGCTTTAATATGATATATCACTCAACCCAGTCCGATCATTAAATGTGGCACCTGATTTTGCGTGGAAAACAAAAAGCAAAAAAAACTAAAACACACCCGAATATAAAGTTCCTTCCCATTTTCAATGGTCGGAACAAAAAACATTTCATTTCAACATTTAGATTTATTTAAACACACATTATTTTGACGTAAGTTTCAAAAAGTATATTCAGTTCATTCTTTCTCTGCCACAGGCTCTTGTTTTTATCTTAATATGTCCAGATACGATTTATATCAATCTCATTCTACCTCGACCGGAGTTTTTCAATTTATATAAATTTCGTTGCAATATCGTCGTCCTTGAAAGTTTTTCTGGTCATATCGTCGAATTTCTCCGCTATTTGGAGGGAGAACTCAGACTTCCATCTGTTCATTTGACCTTTGTTCACCATGTCTTTCTCCTGTGAATTTCTCTCATATCTGGCCTTCATCGAATCTACAGCAGTAGCTATCTTCAAGTCTTGTATATACTTGTCGTCCAATCGCTTTTTGCCCAAGAAGTCACTTATTTGGCCGATTGCTTCTTCAAACTTTTGGTGCAGATCCTCGTAATGAATCAGCAGGTGATTGCTAGGATACTCTCTAAAATATTATGTTGAGTTTCTGCATTATATTTGCGAGTAAAATGCCCTTTAATTAACCAATTTAGGCAGCATTTTTATTAAAATAGCAAGATTTAAAACAACATATTTCTACGACATTGTCTTATAAAAACCCATAGAGTTTTTTTTTCTCCATATAATCCCACGAAAAGTTATTCTTTTTTTGATACAAGTTAAAATTACTTTACAGATACTTTTTGACCGGATAATCTATTATTTCTATTGATTACTAACCGAGAAAATTCGGCGCGGGATGGATACGAAAGCAAAAGTGGGAAAGTACGAAAATAGAAAAAAGGGAGAAAAGTTGAAAGCAGTCCTCTATTTACCTAACACTATTACTCACCGACACTTTTCTATCCACGATTTTGTCCATTCCCACCAACTTCCACAATTCAGTTTTCCTTCCAGGAAAATCTGCAAAAGAAACTCATCCAAGTCATCCGTCTTCTTAAAACCAACTAAGGTCGGCTCGGTCTGGTAAAACTTAAACAAACTCAATGCCGTATCTTTCGGATTCCTGACAACTACAATATTTTTCCTCAGATTCGAAAAGATCTCACGTGGCGCTAAATGAGATGGCATGTGGCTTTTCAGCATTCGCGGCGATGACGTAATCTGATTGGCCACCTCATGTCCCCAACCTTCCTTTTCAAAACATATTTCCAGATATGGAAATTTGAATCGCATTTCTGACTGTCCAGTTTGACTAAGCTCGTCCAGGCCATAAACCATGCCAATTAGGATGTTCTGGGTCCATGTTGTTCCAGTTCTGGGATAAGTCAATAAATATATGTCGTCCTGACGACTTTGGAAGTTTTTAGTAGCAAGAATTGATTCTTCCGTATACGCGCCCTCAATTGAAACATCTTCAAGGTAAAAGGCGTTTTGAATCATCTTCGAGTTTAGAAATCTTCTCTTAGGATAGGTACATTGGTAATATTTATATCACTTTAAAGCAATTTAGTGAGATTGGAGGGACGAGTATAGCTGAGGTATACGAAGCTATAAACTTGCTAAGACTATAAACCTGCTATAAACTTGAGTTAGTGGCAACGTATATCTGAGCAATTACTAATTAGGTATAGGTATGTTTGGTTCTTATCGGCTTATGTATATTTACACCATTTTGATAAGTTATGCTATACATTTTTCCTTAAAGCCGTTTTACGTCAAATAAATAATTTCTTTATAATGGTAAACAGGGGCGGATCTAGGATTTTCTCGAGGGGGCGGATGTTCAAAAAAAAACTTAAGTTTTTGTAGATCTTTTGTTTAGGTCGACCAAATTGATTTTCTGAGTTCTACCAAATCACTGTAAAGACCCTTTTTTGGCAAAAATTTGTACACGGCAGGCAGGTTTCTGAAAAAAAACAGCCAAAAAAGGCGTTTTTAAGAACTTTTGGGAAAATTTTAGCCAAAAAAACCGCGTTTTTTAGGCGCGCGCTGCCCCCTCAAAATTGTTAGATTTTGGCGCCCTTGGCTCCTTTAGAGAAAATTTAGGGTCAGTCAGCCAAAAATGGATATCTCATAATAGTACAAAGGGGGAACCCTTTGAGTCGGCAGGGGGTCGTTTCCCTGAGTGGGGCGTCCGCCACCCCCGTATATTCCCCATAAATCCGCTGGTGATGGTAAATACTTTCAAAATTAAAGCTCGCAATCTGAAATAGCAGAATTGTGGGGGATTGTGGGGGAAGCAGATTTCAGAGGGATTCGTTCCACTACCAACCCAAAGGAATTCGACCCACTCCCATAACCTTTAGCGCCAATATACACTAATTTGAGGCAGGAACGCGCGCCAACAAGTGCTTAAAAAACGGCACTTTTTTGTGTTTGCTGGTTTTTTCGGAAAGTTTGCACGCTAGGCAGAAAACTTGGTGGTCTTTTTAATGATTTAGGAGAGCTCAGTATATCAATTTGATCGGTCTAAAAAAATTTCCTCAGAAAATTTGAATTTTTTTTGTAAATCCGCCCGACCTCAGATCCGCCCAACACTATAAAAATGTCTTAAAAACTAGTGCAGATACTCTTCACGCTTCAGGATAACTATTGGCAGAGTAAAACTTTCATCAAAGCTGGCCTGTAGGTGGGTCAACGCTCCTTAGACACGCGTAAACGCACCTTAGGCGCGCGTCAATCACTCCTTGACGATAACCAGCTTTGATTTTGAAATAGATTCATACCCTCTGTTGGCAAGTTCTCAAAGCGTTGGCGTGACTGCGTCTGTCACTATCATTTTGGTCAATGAAACGGCAGTGTATCAGCTAGCATAAAGCTCGACTAGCTCAAAGCTTTTAAATTGAATATCGTATCGACTAGCATAAAAATTTCAAACACAAATTTCGTACATCGTCAAAATAAATTATTTTACACAAAGAAAAAAATATATGTAATTCACTTTTTTTGCAAATTTCATAACTTTCGCGGCAATCAATAATCCACTCAAGCCATCACAAGTAGGGGTTTGACTGATTCCGATTTATGTGATAATTTGTTTCATTCTTTGCTGATTGCAAAACTTCTCAAATGCTCAATTTTCTATGTGCCAGAAAATCAACTTTCGTTTGAGTCGAATATTAATGTCGTTTTGTAATTCTGAGAAAAAAATATCAAAATATGCTAGTCGATATACTTTCATGTTTTCTTTTTCCTTAGTTATTTGAGTTTTACGCTAGTCGAGCGGCGGCCACAAACAAGACATCCTTTAGGCGAACAAAAGAAATCGGATTTTTGTCTTACTTTTAGAAAAAAAACGTCGTTTTTCTTACCATAGTACAACTGTTTTTTTTTGGAAGTTGCGATGTTTGCATGGTACTTGCCGATTTTGTGATCGAAGAGCTGTTAAATTTCATTATATCGGGTAGCTACATTAAGTTAAAATCATATATTAAGATGCTAGGAATTGTTCATTTGTTACAGCTAAATCGATTTTTTTCTGTTATATTTATTATTTCGATTTGGAGCTGTTAAATTTCATTATATCTGGTAGCTACATTAAGTTAAAATCATATATTAGGATGTTAGGAATTGTTCATTTGTTACAGCTAAATCGATTTATTTGCCATTACATAATATCAAGCGCAGTTTTTTGTCCGCTTCGTCAATCCTCATTCCGGTGGAACCTTAAGTATCAAACTTGATTGATGCCGTTTCTTGGTCGTCGAATCTCGTGTTCTCCAATTTATTCTAATGTCTCGCAGTTTTTTGAATTTCTGATTCGCTTTCCGTCGGATTCTCAAAAACAGGTGGCTATTGGTGGTGGTGTTTTATCGGATTAATTAGATTTTCAATATCTACATTTTTTTCGAGATCACCACTCTTTTACCGTTTAGTTTTGCCAAAAATGGAAAACTTTTCTCACATTTGACTCGTTGTTGTTCGACTGCGCCATGATAAAAGGTTCCTTGAAGAAGTTAATTTATGTCAAAATTAAAACATAAAAAAATGAGAGAGAGCGTTCTATCCGCCGGAGAGAATAAACACATCAAGGTAAAATAATGGAAACATGTTGGACAAACTAAAATAAATTGAGTTAAAAAAAACTGAATCACAATATTTCTTTTGACAGGAAAATTTTTAGTTTAGTATAATACTCGTACTAAAGTAACTGCTTTTTTTCTCCACATCGAGAAGGATAAATGAAAAATTTTTTGTGACAACTAACTTCAGTAAAACTTTGCACTAAAATTAATGCATATGAAAACGATAAAAGTTCAGTAAATGGATGAAAGCAGATAAATGAGATTATGGTAGCTGGCTAAATTAGTATCAACTCGACGGATTAACATAATGGTCTCTGGATTAAGTTCAATTTATCTAAAGAGTTGGAGATGATGTCCCTAATGGCATGCATTAAGGTTGATTTAACTGTGTTTTATTATTAGTAGTAGTATATGTTGGATTCAAATCGGTTGGGGGGTGGAGACTTCCATGTATAAAGATGGGCTATAGACTATATTCGGTCTCCACTAAATGTATAAACATAGGCAATATATTTCCATGTATTAAGCATATAGGTTTCAGAGTTTCAGATGGTAAGTTTCGAGAGAAAAATTGGTGTCCGATTTTGCTGATACATCAAAGTTTAGGATTCCAAACGGGAATGTTTTAAATCCTATTAATTATGTTGCGATAGTTTTCTTGATGGTAAGCTTCAAATGGTAAGTTTCATTTAAAAAAATGTAAACAAAAACGTAAAAGTTTTCTTGAGCTATTATGTCGAATTTGCAACAACAGATGTTTTCCCCCGTGGTGAGTGAGGACGCTGAAGTATGTAAACAAAGTTACTGTTTGTATATTTAAGCGAAGTAGTTGACGTAAACCAAAAGTTTTCTTAGGCTGTTATGTCAAATTTGCAACAACAGATGTTACCACCGTGGTGAGTGGGGACGCTAAAGTATGTACACAATTTTAACGTTCTTCATTTAAGCGTCGTGGACGTGAACAAAATTTTATCTCAGGCTATTATGTCAAGTTTGCAACAACAGATGTTACCTCACTTGGTGAGTGAGGACGCTGAAGTATGTAAACAAATTTAATGTTTGTATATTTAAGCGAGGTAGTTGACGTAAACCAAAAGTTTTCTTGAGCTATTATGTCAAAATTGCAACAACAGATGTTACCCCACTTGGTGAGTGAGGACGCTGAAGTGTGTTAACAAAATTAATAATAGTTTATTTGAGATAGGTTGTGGACGTAAACAAAAATTTCTCATCCAAATATCTCAAAACTGCACCATCAGATGTTACACCTCACGGTGAGCAGGGACGCCGATTACTCTAAACAACTTTCTTGAAATCTCACTTTTGGTTTACTTAAGTGTGATAAATGTTAAGTGTAACAGACGGGGTAAGTTTTGGCAACAACAGAAAATAATTTGGAAGCCAGTCGCTCAATTTTACAACTAGAAACTGATTTCCAGATGGATTTTTCATGTTTCCACTAAATTCTTAAAATATCATCTCCATTTAACACAATATTGTATCTTTTTTCTTTCTTAATTTTCAATTTACATCTACTGTTTTTAGAAGTTTACTCTGACAAAGATGAAATACAATTTTTAATTGTCGATCTTGAAAATTTGTGGTGTATACATCTTTCATAGGGTACATTTTTTGTAAGATTAGTGTTAAAGCAATCACAATTTACCTAGAAAAACTTCCTATTCAGAATCAATGTAAGTTTTAATAATATTCAGTTTACTTCCTTTAGTTTTTGTTAAACTCACTGCTCCCAGTATTCAAAACTAATCATTTTCTCCGAATAATGATCCAGTGTTCTCCTCTATCCTTGCATGGAGCTGAAATAATTATTACAAAAGAGTATTTTGTTAGTTGCGGAACTTTATCAGAGGAATCAGGTTCCACATACTTGAAGCTGAGCTCAGAAATTTTTTCCATAATTTGCAGAAGTGATGAATACTTGCTCCATAGGAAACTGCAAAATTGACTCTAATCTCAAGTTTTCTACACTAAATTCTCGATAATACAACTTTTCAGCTGCATCCTGAAATGAAGTCAAGTCAAAAACATGAATATAGTGATTTTAAAATCTTCTATTGGAAGAGCTGGAAAATTCTCGGTAACTGCGTTGCTTTCATTATCGTAACATAAATGGAAGTTGTATCTAATGAAACAATTGCTCTTCCAGCCCGAATATTTCTAAGCTCTCTCAATTGAAATTGTTGATAGTTGAAAGGATTTTCGTTAGGAGATCATGAAACAGCTGAGTTTGTATTCATTGCAACAGCTATTCCTCTTATTGGAGCAATATTGAAATTATTTTCCTGAAAAAACTGGTTTTAACAAGATGGAATGATGAAGGTTCTTGCTATAGTTTCCATGTTATTGTAATGAGCAGGTCCTCTTTCCAGATTCCATTGCAAGAACAGATGATTAAATTCAGCTACTAAAGTTCTTCTAGTAAACAGCGAACAATCAACTAATTCCAGACTAATTTTTGAAAATCAGAGATCGTATAATAACTAAGACCAGCACGAATTTGTTCAATTTGAACTTTGATTTTTCGTAGTAGCAATTTTTCAC